GCAGACTATTCCCAGGGCATCAAGATTGGAATGACACTATCTCTCTTCTTGCACTCACGCATCGTCCAAACAAAGAAGGTCACAGATTATGCCCAGCTTGCCTATGTGAGACACCAGCAACGTTGGCGATTTGTGTCGTTTGCAAAGGCTATTTGATCAGTCATGGCCTGAGGAGACGAATCAAAGTCACTGTTGCCAAGGTACCTACTACAGAACAACGTCCTCAAGAAGACGATGTCAAGGATCACGTCAAGCAGGCATGGGAAAAGATCAAGATTGACCTGACAAGTGAGGAGGATGATGACGATCAAATGCAAGATGATGATGATGATGTCGACATGAAAAGCCCACAAGAAGAAGTCCGACAAGATGGAGATAATGCAGATCGAAAGACTGAGGCCAATGATATCAATGAGGAGAAACGAGATTTCAGGGAACAAGACGAAGTTGATGAGTTCCTCAACGAGGAACGTGAAAAGGGCGACACGATTGACGAAGAGGGAGCCGCTGGCAGAGACATCAACATCGAGGAGTATGAAGCAGGTGAAGCAGAAAATGTCACCATCGAGTACCCAGCTTGGCTGAACAGGATCGACTTCGGGTCGAAAGTTCTTCCGGTCGAACCTTGCATGATCGGAGACGCCCAACCCGAGCTCATCAAAATCCTGCTGCTACAGATGGGGATGAATCTCCTCAAGATATACAAGCAATTCCACAGGAATTTCTGTGGTACCATCGAAACAGCATGGCAGCCTTTTCAATTGAATCAGGAATTCAGGTTGGACCTCGATCCAAAGGTTCCTTACCTTGGTGAAGATGATGAAGGCAATCTCATCGAGCCAAGCGATGAACAAATGCAGGACCTCTATCGTCAAATCGGCAAGCCTGACACCAGAGACGACGTGGGAGAAGATGGGTTCGTCAGTGCCTATCATGGGTCCTTAATCTTCACACCTACATTTTGGAATGTGGATACGTCTTCGGCGATCTACAAAACATATTCAGTGAGGAAATTGTCGGACCCTTGAAGAAAGACGACACTACCGAGGAGGAGACCAGAAAATCCTCGGTAGCACGTGAGGCTCTCGACATGCAATCTTCGTTTGTCAGGAGAGTGATCGCTGGAGCCTACAAGGTGAATGCCGTATACTTTTTCAGGAATGTGGATTTCCAGAATACAGTGACGCTCAACCCGGTAGACATTCTATGTGCGTGCCGACCTCACATCAGACGCATAGCAGTCATGCACCTGATCCTGCAGAATGGCAGGCAACTCCCACGACCCTTACAACTTCGACTCTATGATGCAATCGACGAATACAACAAGTCGAAGCAACGTGATGATCAACGACCAAAGTGGGGAATCCACATGTCGGAAGCCCACTTGATTGCAATCGCGGACACGCAGATACCTCATGATGCTCGACGAGAAGCTGACACATCTGCAAAAGGAAAGTAGAAAGCAACACCGAAGCCTAGCGCTGTATCAGGCGCGAGATCATCACCTTCGGCTTCGTCGGGTCATCCTAGAGAAGCAGCTCCTACACCAAAGCAGGCTCCACCGCAACCACCTTGGAGAGAAGGACAAGACCAAGGAAAGGGGGGTAAATCGTACTCACACCGTGGCGGCGATTGGAACTACCCAGGGCGAAACTATGGAAGATGGAACTGGCGATAATATCACTAGACCTCTGCATAGGTCCTGGCGATGATGATGGGAGCAGCAATCAGCGCTCATGATCTAACTCTTCATCGATGTGGATGACATCTGAGAGGAATCTGAGCCGGCCAATTCAAGAGTCTCATTCATTTTTTTAGATACGATGCTATCTAAACGTCATTGCATCGTGAGCTGAGTTTCTACAGCGGTCTACTTCTCTTTTAATGGACGAGCGGGAATGTAAAATTCTAGCTCTGTAATCATTTTATTTTTTTTATCTCGTGCTCGGGTGGAACTGAATGTTGGCTTCGCCACATGATGTGAAACTCGATACTGTACATAGGCATCGCCTTGGCAGTATGCATGTAGACAACACAGCTGCTGGTAGGGAATGTAGCAAGCCGCGAAGAAACTGTACAGTTCCTTAATTAACATAACGTAAACTGCAGGCGACTAAGATTTAAGATTCTGTTTCCTCTGGCGCCTGGAAGACTAAGTCTAACAGGCGTGGGGGGTGCGAATGGGGTAATGGCTACAGTGTATAATACATATCCCCATGTATAGCAATCTTAACTCTCCAGCCACAAGGGGACAATGCAATGATGCCCGTTTGGCTCAAGTCCAATACAGCTGCAGACGTCCAACGGAAAAGTGCAATGCGGAAGCTTTGATACTCTTTGTCATCGACCATTACTTCAAGGTAACCACAACATATATATATATATATCGGCAGGAACGTCCGAATCACATATACATATAGATATACATATACATGTATTTGTTTATTGATTTGTTGACCCTAGACCAGTCTGGTCTCTTCAGGTGGCAAGGGCCCAACAGGTGGATGGGTGATGGGAAGGGCAGGCCCAAGAAAAACCTCACGCATGTGCACCTCACCGATTTGGTATGAGTTGATCTAATACAAGGGTGGAACTAATCCGAGAAAATCGTAAATTTATCCAATAAAATGAAATCGCGTTCAAAACAATCAGCAAGAAATGAATACATCAAGACAAGCAGACTGGTAATCTGGGGTTAATCAACTAAAATTCCGATTTAGCCAACAAGAAATTGAGTAGGAACAAAACCCAAATGGTGTATTTGTGGATATTAGCCCAATAGAACGGGAATATTTTGTCCCAACAAAATGATGGTATCTTGACGACTTTGGGTGATGTGTCATGCCACCTTTTGTTTTCCCGCGTGAATGGGGGGGATGACCATCCACATTCACAAGCTAGTTTGACGTGAATCAGGATAAGGATGTCCAAAGTTGGGTATCTAAGCTCATCTGATCTTATCTTATCTCATTTTATCTTACATTGTTTTAACTTATCTCAATCTAATCTCGAATCTAGCCAAACCTAACCTAACTTTATCTTTAGTTCATTGTGCATGAATGGATCCATGAGATTTTACGACCCAAAAGTTTGTTTGATCCTACCTTGGATGACTTTTGTAAGATGCCATGGTTAAGGGTGGAGGGTTCTATGGCAGCATGGTCCAAAGATGTGAAGATCTATGGCCATCTCAAATTCCTGGCACCCTGGATTTCCCACCAAAATAGCTGTCGTATGTTCATCCCGCCATCAAGTTATTCAACCCATGGTAGGTCCCATTCCCATATTTCCCTGTGCCGGGATGACGCGACTTTTCGGTTGATGAAATCCCCATTTCGATTTTCCAAAGATAGGCCCTTCTTTCCGCAGGCCTTTAACCTGGACATGAAGGGCTACATGCCGGTGGCCCGACAGTGTGCGGTTTTGTTGGATGAAGTTTCCGCTTCCCTTTGGGGTGATATTCACCAGGCTGGGGAAGGTTTCTATTTCAAGTTCTACCACCATGTATTGGTGAAATCCAGGTTTGGCAGAATCCATACAATGTGTGTTGAGTAACGGTTTATTTAGCTGTTTGCTCGATCGTTTCGGATGATCAGATAGATGATGAACCATAACACAAATCCCATTCCCTTGTTTTTGCTGGTTGAATCCCTATTCTTTGTTTCGTGAAGTCTTCTGCTTTGGTAGGGGTAGTTTCGAAAAATTTGCTTAGTCAAAGCCGAGGATTTGACTTGGAAAAAATCGCTCTAAGCCTGCTTTGGAAATAGTCGAGTCTGGGTTTATTCCACAGTCATTCGGGTTGCATGCCTGGAAGGGTCGGTTGGAGAAAAAAAACACCGGCCGCAGTACTGTTGAGAAGGGGATAGGCAATTCATGATTCCACATGCAGAAGATTGATAGTTTCCTTGATGACATTGATTCAAGAATACTTCGGGGCCTACCTAACCTAGGTCCTACATGCCCAATATTTTTTGGTCTCTGGGATCATGTTTGCTGACTTACAGGGACCGACGGTCAGTATTCTTTCACAAACAGACATGTTCAAGGTAGTTCTTTCACTTGGGTTTAATAGTTTCTACATAAACTTCAACCAATTGACGCAATAGAAGCCCTTTTTTCCAGATATCTCTTTGCAAATGACACCATAAGTTAATCATCCAAGAGCGTTTTCCCACATCAAAAAGTATGTTTGGCAGTTTATTTGTTCACAAAGAAAGGTGTACCTGGCAAAAGCATGTTTTCATTGCGTGTTTGAGTCAAACAATTTCTTTACTCCCAATGAACGGCATGCCCCCCTAAAGAAGTCCGATCGGTGGCACCACCGACACCGAATAATTTTTGCCACGGTCAAACGCCGGATTTTCTATAGCCATATTGTGGGATCTCATTGCCTCATTCGCCTGCCATTCATAGGGAATTATAGACAATGACCAGTTAAGGATTCGCACAGGGACCATAAACCATTCCAGGTATCACCATGGTATCACCATGGTCAGCTCCTAAGGATGCGACCAGCTATTGCTACGAGAAGCTCATTGCGGATCCCTTGTGTTGCAAGGAGTGCGAGCGCCGCGCGCTATGCCTGGAACCACCTCAGGGATGACATGTTGGGACGCTATGGCAATCTAACTTGGGGACACGGTTGGGTCGGGATAGTTTCATGGATGCCACTTGGGATTGTAGATGTCAATATGTGTTTGTCTTTCCAGCGTTCATAAACTTGAACAACAACTGTTACAATGTCAGATTTTTCCACTGGAAGACGTATGTGTGAGTAATGCTGCTTGCTGGTTAGCGTAGTTGTGTAGGGCTTGTAACTGCATTTGCACATGTAAAGCTGTTGTGTTTTTTACCGCAGTCTGGCCCAGACGACGCTATAGCTGATGGATGAAAAAGGCTGCTGCCTAGGCCGTTGCCTTGTGTTTTACTTCTAACTTTTGAGCCCAATACCCCTTGAAGGGGAGCTACCGTGCAGTCTCCGCATTGGTAGCGGAGCCCCGATGACGGAAAGGGGCTCGGTGGTCGAACCACCTGGAGGAGCTGAAGCTCCTGGACTTCCGGCTGTGCCGGACAGCGCTTCGGATAGCGCATCAGGAGCTGACTATAGCTCCGAGGATCGTGAAGCCAAAGTGAAGGTGGAGACGGCTGAGCCCGCTCGACTGGCAGAGCCAGGACGCCCGGCAGCGCCGGAGCAACTTGTAACGGCAGAGCCGGACAAGAAAGATGAAGCTGCTGCGGTTCCCAATGCCGGTGATGCAGAGCATGGGGACCGACGGAAGAGAAGGTCCCGCCACAGGACGTCAGATAGCCGAGATGATGCGCGAGAAGAGCGCGAAGAGAGAACAAAGAGGAGAGAGCGCCAACAGGCGTTGCAGAAAAGCCCAAGTGTCCGAGAGCCGAGGCAAAAGGATTCCCGACGAGCCCACGAAGGTGGCCGCAATCGCGGCAGGCGCAAGTCCCGTGATGGGAACAAGGGCAGCCGCGAGGGAAGCAAAGGCCGAGGCAAAGGCAAGAAGGGCGGAAAGAAAGGAAAGGGGAAGAGAGATGATGGATCCCGCTCGTCTGGCCAAGCCGAAGCTGGGATGGAAGTTGGGAGGATGGTTGGTGGGGTTGGCAAGACTGGCAAGGCTCTCAGAGCTACGGTTCCCAGAGTTATGACTGGGGAAACCAATCCTATGGACTAGTGCCATTGTCCTCGAAGCCCTCAAGGACTGGATGGTACCCAACCGATGATGGCAGGTACTCTTACTGGAATGGACATAGCTGGGGTGATTGTGAACCATCACCTCCAGGAAGGACTCGGGAAGTTCACTCTATGGTGGAAGATCCCGATGAGCCTGGCAAGAGATCGAAGGGATCAGAACGACCTCCAGAGCCTGCTGAAGGACCAGTCAAAAAGGAGGAGGAGTCGCCCAAGAGAAAGCCCAGGAAGTTGCCGTTGCCGCGGCAGCCAATGGGTCCACCTCCACCTCCTCCGAAAAAGGAGTCGCGCACCAAGGAAGAGAAAGGACCATCACCTCCAAGAGATGAGCCTTCCCGAAGGTCGGAGCGCCGCAGCGGAGACCGCGACAGAGATGAGCGCCGTGAAGGCCGTGGTGACGATCGCGGTCGGCGAGATGAGGGTCGCGGAAACCGAGATGCTGATGGAGGCCGAGACAGAAGGAAGGACGAAGACCGATCAAGGAGAGGACCTCCCAGGGAGGAAGAGAAGAAGAATCCAGCCAAGAAGAGCAAGGCTGGGCCGCCGAGCGGTGGCGGTGGTGATGGAGGCGATGGACCTGATGACAGCAGCTATAAGTATAGCTACGAAGAAGAGTCTGAGGAGTCGGAGCAACAGACCCCAGACCCGTCAGTCCGAGGATCGACAGCCGGCAGCGCCCGGTCACATCGGTCACGCCGCTCCCAGCCTGGCAGCGCCAGATCGGGAGGGTCCCGCCACCGTGGAGGACAAGGTTCTGAAGCATCCACGGTGAAGACGCTTGAGTTGCAGGAGATGCTGCAGAATGCAGCCAAGAAGCAACAGCCGGAGCGGTCGAAGCCGGCTATTAGCCAAGTCAAGATAGAACCGTTCCGCGGCAACAGGGACAAGTACCGTGACTGGAAAAAGATGCTGGACGCGCAAAGAGCGTTGTACCGGCTTGACGACTAGGAAATGGCTCTCCTGATTTACATCAGCTGCGAAGGCGAAGCTCGCCAGGTGCTTAACCAGCTTGAGATCTCGGAGATCCAAGGCGAGAGAGGGCTCCAGAGAGTTCTCCGTCTTTTAGAAGACGCCTTTGGTTCCCGTGCAGACGAGCGATTTGAGCAGAAACAGGAAGCGTATCTCTCTTATCGCCGTACTCCTGGCACAAGCATCGCGGCGTACATCGTCAACCTTCGCAGGTTGCGCGAAGAGTACTTGAAAGAAGACGAAGGTACGGTCATTTCAGACCGTGCTTTCGCGCAGAGGATGCTGAGCAGAGCAGCATTGACACGGCGTGAACGCTACGACGTGTTCTTCAGCGCCGGTGGCAAGTATGTGAGCCAACACATAGAAAAAGGTGCTGCGCGTCAGATGCTCAGACATCCACGTTCAGGAGAAGCAACAGTCTCCAAAGCCGAGGACTGCAACCGGAAGCTCCGGATACAAAAAGCCCTTCGCAAAGCGGCCGAGCCAGCAGTATGCGAAGAGGACAGACCGCCGTAGCCCATATCGCCCATCCAGGCACACTCATCTGGCCGAGAACGAGGACGAGGAAGAAGACCCGGATGAGGTTGATGAGGAAGACCTGGAGCAAGAAGCTCTGATGGCCGACGATGATGAGCAGGATGAGATCGATGAGGGGGAGTACTACGACGAAGAGGAGGAGGATGATCGCTATGATCAGTATGATGACGAAGGTGAGACGGGCACTACCTGGGAGTTGAAGGAGGCTTTTGCGGCCGGATGGTCTGCGAAGTCCAGAGCTGCCGGGAAGAAGAAGGCCCGGGGCTACTCAGATGGCCCATCCTCCTCGAAAGGCGGTGGAAAAGGGAAGCAGCGCAAAGAGTGGCGCGATCCCAATGAGCGCAAGAAGAAGTCCTGTTGTGCAGCATGTGGACAGATCGGCCACTGGCATTCCGATCCGCAGTGTCCCAAGAACAGCGGTGCCAGTGGAGGGACAAACCCTTCAGGGACAGGAGCCAACTTCACAGGAGCAGTTTCCAGCACCCCTGCCAATGATGACAAGGAACCCCGTGTCTCACGAGTCAACTGGACGTTCGTGAATGGCTGGGACATGGTTGGGGAATACTCCAGTGCATCCGATGCACTTCTCACGTCTCCTGAAGAGTCAAGCGAAAGTGAGGCTGAGCCGGCCATATACAGCAAGGCGTCTGAGCCACGCGCCAAAGCCGCGGCAGCGCCGCCAGCCACCAAGTATAAGGTGGATTTGAAGAAGGTGTTGCGAGCTTTGGCAACCATCACTGAAGATGAGGACGCACTGAAGAAGATTGAGAAGAAAGAGCGTCGCATCACCCGAGAAGAAGAAGCTGCAGAGAAAAAGCGACGTGAAAAGGTGCGGCGCGCCCACGAGAGGATTCAATCCTTCAAGAGCACCGATGCTGGAGCACAAGAGATGCTCACCATGCTGCCGTATCTGGACAAGCAAGAAAAGAAACACCTGTATAACGCCCTCAAACGGGAGCAGGAAGAAGAGGAAATGAGGCATTTTCACCATGACTACGACAGAGAGATGCTGAAGAGATCTGGTGATCGACGTGGAGGATATACCGCAAAGGCAGCGCCTCGCCCAAGCACGGCTGCGTCCGGTGCTCGAGGATCAAATGATCCCCCTCCTGCAAAGTCCGAGAACCAAATGCCGGAACCCGTTCGCAAGAAGAAGTTGAAAGAGTTCCGATGGCATCTGTACGATGCCTCTTTGGATCGGAAAGGGAAATGCAAGCCATCAGAGGCTAGCGACTTCCCAAGCACCAAGGAACAAGAGCTGTGCAAGCACCCATTCGAAAGGCTGGCATGGGGCGCGAATGGATCCGCCCATTGGGCTAGCTGCAGAGCTTGCGGCTTGAAGAAAGTGCTGTATTACAGCCGTGAACATGGGGCGCTGGCAGCCGAGACGCACCAGGTGAATGAAGATGTTCATGCCCTATATCATCAACTCCGATGATATCATCCTGGACACAGGGTGCAGAACCGCAGTAGCGGGTGAGGAGTGGCACAACAGATTCCAACAGATGTTGGATAACAAGGGCCTGCACTATGAGACAGTGCAGCATGAGGAGATTTTTAGGTTTGGTGCAGGCAAGCCGGTGCTGAGCACTGAAGCGGTGGTATATCCAGTGCAGCTCGGGATGGAAGGACCGTTGTCCTACCTGAGATTGGCCGTGGTGCGGCGGACTCGTGATGATGACCACGTGGCCCACTGTCCTGCATTGGTTGGACCATCGGAGATGAAGCGATGGGGTGTTGTGCTGAACTTTTCAGATGGCACCATGCAGATCGGTGAAGGAACCACTTGGAAACCAACGAGGTTCTCATCGACAAGACACCCTGTGATTTCCCTGCTTGGCAATCGAAAGCCATCAGCATGGGACACCCCGGAATTGCGCAAGCTGAAAGATACCCTGGTCCGAGACCCATACTCCATGGCCTTGGTGGCGGTAGCTTTGGAAGAGTCCACAGACTCAGAGGCACCGAAGGTGCAGTCCGAAGCTGAAGAGGAAAGTGAGGTTGAGGATCTCGCCAGATGGCAAGAAGGAATGGAAAATGAAGCAATGACACTGTGGGATGTTGTGAAGCCGCAACTCCCCAATGACTGTTTCCGCGTGGCTGCGCCACCAAGCGATGAGGCGTCCAACCTGGGCTCGATCAGTGACTCTGTGTCAGAGACCTCTCATGAGGTGGAACTGAGCGAGACAAGCTCGTCCGAGACTGAAGATGAGTACATGGAGCGACACACAGTGCTGACAGCTGATAATGCTGGAGATGAAGAAACCTTGAACAAAGGTCAACGACGACGACTGCTGGCTGCGACCAAGCAGATCGCTGATGCAGCACGCAATGAAGCACTGATGGCCCAGCGGACTAAGAAGGAGAAGGTCCCAAGGCCAAAGAAACTTCCTTGGAAAATTCTGGAAGTGTTCACATGGTCATGCATGATTTCCCAAGTCGCGAGTTCGCGTGGCTGGGAGTTCTTGAAACCGGTGGCGCTTGAAAGCGGCTGGGATCTGCGTTTCCCAGATGTCCAAGACAGAGCCATGAACTACATTGAGGCGGCTGCGCCGGACCTCATTGTCTTAGCCTGGCCGTGTGGCCCTTGGAGCCCTCTTCAGGCTTTGAATCAGAAGACTCCCATGCAGCGCCGAGCCCTGCAGATGAAACGTCGGCAGAGCCGCAGAACCTTTCTGGCGTTTGCGCGCCGAGTCGCACAGTATCAGAGAGCTCGGGGAGGTGCAATAGTGGGAGAAAACCCAGCACCATCCAAAGCATGGGAACAGGAAGAGATTCAAGAGGCCTTCATGGGCTTGGAACACAAAGTGATGGATCAGTGCCGGTACGGCCTACGACATCCAATCACCAAAATACCGATGAGAAAAAGGACCCGGCTTGCAGGCCAGAAAGAGGTCCTCAAATATATGGACAAGAAGTGTGGCCGCGACCACCAGCATCACCCCATTGAAGGCAGTTTCAAGGGTGAAGATGGAAAGTGGCACTCACTCAGTGCCTTGGCAGGTGGCTATCCTGTCGAGTTTTGCAAGAACATCCTGATGGGCGCGGAGGAGTTTTTGATCTCCAATAAGGCCTATGTAGAGGATGTCGGAGAAACGGTGCCAGATGTTGCTGATGGCATCGATGCAATGGACGAAGAAGAGCGTATCAAAGAGCTTGAGGAAGAGAAAGTCCCAGATGTGGATGAAGCGGAAGAACAGAGACTGGAAGAAGAGCAGAGGCATCCAGTCCCCAAGGAGGTGCAGAAGGCTGTGATCTTCGCGCACCGGCAGCTGGGCCATCCTTCGCGCAGCACTTTGCTGCGGATGCTCAAGCTGTCAGGAGCAAATGAGGATGCCCTGCGGTTTGCCAAAACGTGGAAGTGTGACGTGTGTGCCATGCGTCAGCCACCAAAACACCCACGTGCAGCCCGCCCGTATGGGTTCAACTTGCATGTGCACGTGGATGTGAAGTATCTGCTGGATGCCCGGGGCAAGAAATATCCAGCTCTGAGCATTGTGGATGTTGGGACACCGAAACATGACTGCCATCTCCTCAAGACGCGCCGCAGTGAATACACGGCAAAGAAGTTCCTGAAAAGGTGGGTCACAGTCTATGGGCCTCCCAAAGCCGTGACTCATGACCAAGGTGGAGAGTTTGAGCTGGCTTGGATCCAATTGATGGAAGACCTGGCCATTCCAACGGATGTGACATCAGCTCACGCACCTTGGCAGCTCGGTATTGGCGAACGCCATGGAGGAATCCTTGGATCAATGGTCCAAGCAATAGTGGACGAGCATGGGTGCGAAGGTTTCTCGGCCCTCCAAGAAGCGGTGGCGGCAGCTTGCATGGCGAAGAATGCCACTCTCACGCGGGATGGGGATACCCCACACCAACGGGTATTCGGATTTGAGTGCCGGTGGCCCTCACTTCTGGATGAGAATGCAGCACCCAGCTTCGCAGAAGGACTGTCCATTGAGTCCGAGGTGAGCCGAGCTCACAAAATGAGGATCACTGCAAAGGTGGCGCTGGTGAAGCAGGATGTGAGGGACAAGGTGCGGCGCGCCGTGTTGAGGAAGCCTCAAACATCCGAAGGGCCGTTCCTCCCAGGAACACGTGTGTACTTCTGGGTACCCTCCACGACAAAAGGGAGGTACCGACCAGGAGGACTCTGGCGTGCCCCATCCACAATCATCACCAAGGAGCAAGGCAAGCGCTATTTCGCATCATGGCGCGGACGCCTACTCCTCTTAGCAGAGGAGAACCTCCGACTGGCCACACGTGAAGAGTTAGCCCTTACAGAGGAGGTGCGAGACGAAATGGTCGACCTTGGAGATGTTTTGAGAGACCCAGCGAGGTCAAACATCTACGAGGATCTGAGGCAGAAACCTCCACCTCCGAGGCAGCGCCCTCCAAGGAGGAAACGGGAAGGGCCGGCAGCGCCAGAGCCCGAAGTTCGGAAACGAGCAAGGCTGATGCTCAGAGGAAGCAAGGCCATTCGAGGTCTTATGCAGAAATACGCAAAGATGACAGGGATGCCAGGACAACCGGCAGTTGCCCCAAGAGCTCCCAAGAGAAAAAGGATCTTGGATGGTCCTGTTGAGGAACCAGCGGCGCTGGAACATCAGGAAGTTGCTGAAAATCCTGCCATTGAGGATGGAGAGGCAGCTGGCGATGATCATGCTGATGACGATGTTGGATCAGGGGGCTACACACCTGGGACCCCTATAGAGGAAGATCCTCCAGAGGAGGCTGAACTGCCAGAGCAGGTGCCTGAAGCAGTTCCTCTGGAAGAAGAGGCTGCGCCTCCATCAGAAAATCCGCCAATGCCGGCTGCGCCGGAAAGAACAGGATTACAGCAGGATTGGAACAGAGCACTTCGCGCACGACGTGCAAGGCGGAGCGACTTCCGAGAACAGCTGCTGGATGATGTTCCGGGTTCAGTCAAGAGAAGGCTGGAATTTACCCAGCAAGAGGACGACACGCCGCCGGTGAAGAAACAGAGGGTCCATGAAGGACTGACAGTGCACGCTATGATGGGTGCAGCAGAGGAAGGTGGACTGCAGAATGAATGGATAAGCCGGTTTGAGATAGATCTGCTCAAAAGACTTACTGGACTTCCGGTGACTGCCGCAAGGATCCACCGTGCACCGAGAAAGAGGATGCAGAAGCCACCCAAGATGATTTCCAGAGCCAGGTTGTCCATTTTATTGGGCGAAGACCCTGGTGATATCTTTGTGGTGGAAGAGACGGCAGCTCAGGTGAAAGATCAACCTAGGAGGAAAGCTGGTTTCAGGTGGCGCGGGATGACTCCGAGAGGATAAGGGCCCACCACCAAAGCGAAATGACCAGCTGTTTTCAACGAAGATTCAGCTCCCAACCGGTGTCTACGAGGTGATGCTCACCTGGGAAGAAAGGCGGGAGTTTGAATTGCAGTACGTCCAAGACGTGAAGGATGTGCTGGTCGCAGAGGTGATGCTGCAGAAATTGAAGGCCAGTGGGAAGGAACTTGATCCGAAGGCCTTCAACGAAGAAGAGAAGAGAGCTTTCGATGCTTCGGACACACAGGAATGGAAGCAGTGGCTGGACAACGGTGTGGTCCGAAAGCTGACGTCGGCCGAAGCCGCGAAGGTTCCCCGATGGGAAATCTTCAAGAGCCCACTAAGATGGGTGAGAACCAATAAGACAGGCAACCTGCTGTTGCCGCTGGTTGCGAAGAGCCGTTTGGTGATCCCTGGACATTTAGATCCTCAGCTGGGATCTTTCAGAGCTGACAGCCCTACGGTGTCGCTGCAGGGTGTGCGACTTACCAAGGCCGTTGCCCAGAGAAATGGGTGGACCACGGACAGCTTTGATGTCACGACAGCGTTCTTGAGTGGAGAGAAGACCTCAAGACGCATCCATGTGAGGTCACCTGACGGTGGACTGCCGGCTGTGCTGGGGATCTCACCAGCCATCAAGGCAGGCGAATTGCTACAGGTGATGAAATCGGCCTATGGTCTCACCGAGGCACCTCGCCTTTGGTACCTGAAGGCGGTGAAGGAGCTGGAGACAACGCCACTCAAGGAATTGAGTGCGGCCCGTTCGACCTTTGTCGCCAGCGAGAAAGGCAAGGTGTGGGCGATCCTATGCCTACATGTGGACGATGGCCTTCTGACTGGCCGAGCGGATGATCCGCGATACATCGAGCTGAAGGAAGAAATCAACACCAGGTTTCGAATCAAAGAATGGAAGAAACCACCCATGACCTTTTTGGGTGTTGGTGTTCGATACGGTGACAAGCCTGGGATATATGACGACATGTCTTCTTACATCAAGGAGATCAGGCTTCCTGAGGTGGACGCTCGTACGATGTCCGGAAGACTGAATGAGAAGCAGACCACGGCATACCGACAACTGACCATGAGGTTGCGTTGGCCGGCAATGCAAACTATGCCACATCTCCTGTACGAGGTGAGCCGCCTGGCACAGAAAGTGACGAAGGCGACCAAGGAGGACTATTGTGAAGCACTGAAGCTTCACGGAAAATTCCTAGAGGAAGCGCAGCAAGGCCGCGCCTGCTTGCATTTTCCGCCCCTTGGGAAGGAGAAGCTCTGCCTGGTGACATACTTTGATGCTTCTCTTGGAAAAGAAGAAGATGGCAAATCCCAGCTTGGTTCAATTCACTTCCTGACCACGGTCAAGGTCAAGGAAGGGCCAACTGAGGCCTCAGTGATTGACTTCACCACCACCAAAAGCTCACGCGTGGTGAGGAGCTCTTTGGCAGCAGAAAGCTGCTCGTTGAGTCAAGCCATCGATCGACATCTCTATTTGAGATTATTGCTCGACATGCTGACGAGGGGTTATTATCCTGTCACTCCAAACTGGAGGAAGGAAATGAACATTGAAGGAGTGGTCATCACAGATGCCAAGTCGGTATACGATCACATGCAGACGACAGGTCAAATTCCACAAGAGAGACAAACAATGTTGGATCTCTTGGTGGCAAAGGACCAGTTGGAACAGCAAGTTTTCCAACTTATGTGGGTCCCTACCCATCGTCAACATGCGGACGGTCTCACGAAACGCATGCGAAATGTTTTGTGGGAAGAATTCGTCCGGACAGGCAAGATCTCTCTGCGAGAGACACCTGAAGAAAAGGTGCTAGAAGAGCACCGACGGAAGATCCGTCAAGGCCAACGGCAGCGCCGCAAGGAGAAGTTTGCAAAGACAACTTCTCCGGCTGACAGTGGCAGCGCCACCAGCCCGAAGTCGCAGCGTGGTTGCACCACCCGACGTAGCGCTAAGCGTGGCAGCGCCACCTAATTCATTTTTACCAGCTGTACAGAATGCAGCTCCAACATTCCTTTCCTGGGATGTGAGTAATGCTGCTTGCTGGTTAGCGTAGTTGTGTAGGGCTTGTAACTGCATTTGCACATGTAAAGCTGTTGTGTTTTTTACCGCAGTCTGGCCCAGACGACGCTATAGCTGATGGATGAAAAAGGCTGCTGCCTAGGCCGTTGCCTTGCGTTTTACTTCTAACTTTTGAGCCCAATACCCCTTGAAGGGGAGCTACCGTGCAGTCTCCGCAGTATGAAAGTGAGTGGACAAAGTCGTGATGCGCCAGCTGTCGGTCTTTTGGGTCCCAGGATGGTACCTCCTGTGGGTCAGTGTTGGTCCGTTGTGGTCACACCTTGCGCCTGTGGAAAGTCAGTGGCTACATGGGGCTCCGGTCTATCGCATTGGGTTTCCTCCATTATTGATGGTTATATCCTCAAAAATAGTGTTTGTGTACCCCAGTTTATAATGTAAATCCCCAAGTATTGGTTGACCCACATGAGTTGAATTCTTTTGTCCAGGACCATTCATCAGATTCCCCCACAGTGTTGAGGACCAGCGGATTCCCTTGAGCGTGAGGTGTGGGCTCCCAACCATCACCGCATAGATTTAGTGTTCTTATTGTTTTGGTACCCAAAGACGCACCATCCACACCGTCTATGCACTCTATGCGTATATGTGTACAATCACAGAATACATAGCATCGTGCAGATTGTGTTGTGGTTTTGCCAGCCTGATCTGTCTGTGTTCGGTGTGTGGGATGTTTCCACCCCCAAAGTGCAGCCATCTGGCCTGATGTCTCATGATTTGATGAGCCAAACGATTTTGAAACATTCCCATCCGCAGGTGGGACATGAATAAAGAATCAAGATTGCCATGCAGGAAACCGTTGATCTCATGTAGGTACTACAATCAAAAACTTGTTTGGATGAAAGATTTTGAAGCATGGTTACCCTGACTGTATGCACGTGGTTTGGTGGCAACCCCCACATGTTTAACAAACCGGGTTTGGGCACAGGCTCGTAGTAGTGGTCCTGTCACAGCTTCATAGGCACGTTGAAATCGAACGTGAAGGTGCAGAATGGAACTGCGTTGGGACCCTCAGCACCGAGACCGGCAGAATCGCTCCAGCTGATTCAGTGTGTTGATCTTCGGGCGTCATGGTAGTCCAACGTAGTCCAAATAGTTCTTCAAAGTTCTTCAAGTCCGGGATTTGGACAAAAATTCTCATGTTTCTAGACTCTTGGCACCAAACACCCAATGTTCTGTCTGAACGTCAGCAGGCCACATAGGTGGGGAATTGTGGCAACTGTGATCCTGAGCAAAATGGGCGACATCCGCCGCCCAGGACAGCGGCATTGAATGCAATGATGCCACTTGGCGCCATTGGTGTGTGCAGAAATATGTCCAATATATCCCATATGTCCATTCCAGGAACCCAGAAACAGTTTGTTTTTGCAGAATGTTTCTGCTTCCTGCTTTGTCAGTAAAATGATAAACCCCAAAGATGAGCATGGGCTTACCGTTTCAAAACCACCAAGAAGCCATTCAGCCACAGTACCAAAGGATCCGATGGCTCGGTATGTCTATACTATTGGATTTGTGGCCCGTTACATTCTCATTGTGGTTCTATAACCCCATGATCTTCTTGCAAATTCCATCTCTTTGTGTTTGTTTTATATCCTCACCGTGGGCATTCCTATTCCCCATACCACTTCGACCGTCCCACTGGTCAGGACCCCTGGTCTGTAATAGAATGAGCTATTTAATCCAAAATCTCAGTTTCACCTCCGTTGATCCCAAGTTTTCATGGCTAAACCGTGCTACCGTGCTGTGGTCGTGGCTGCCAGGATTCCAAAGGGTCTCGGGGCAATGACCTGCTGTGGTGGCCACCGGTGACCTGGTTGAGGCCATTTTTGATGGGGTAAACCCAGAGGAAGACCCATATTCTCCTATTTTTATGGGGTCAAAGGGTCAAAAGCCAGCTCCAACTGGGTATATTCTGTACCAGTCAGCTTATTATGTACCAATCAGTCCAATCAGCTAAAAGATGATGTTTTTTGTAGGGTACCTAAGATTGGCTTCAATTCTGATCATACATTTGTGTGAATAACACGGGATGAGGGTCTGTTTCAAAATGGTGCATAGATCCAAAATTGCAAGTTTTACGTGGAAACTTATGATAAGGGACGAGGGTTTGAGGTACCCAATTTTGAGATATGCCATATAAGTAGATATCTGGGCAAACCTTGGTCGGATAGTCTAGTAGTTGAATGCTGGCCATTTATATGGAGATATATGGAGCCAACCATCAGAAAGGACGTGGTTCTGTTTTGCACACCATGAAATGGACAGACAGCCTAAACGACTAGATTTGCCACAAAGTGGTGGTTTGTTTGCAGATCATCTATCCTATCAACAATACAAGTCCAAATCCCTATCAATGTGACAGCATCAGGTGCAAGAGGGCTTCCGAAGCAAGCATTGGATTGAGAGTTTCTCAAAGAAATACACTGATATTGATTTTTGTATGTCCATTCAGAAACGCCAAACACCCTCACTGGACTTGCATCATTTGATTTCAATGGATTTTCACTTTTTGCGGAGGCCAGAAGAAGAAATCGGAATGCAAATCACAACATGCTCACTGCGGGAAAAATTGCACCACAGATTGTGTGCTACTATGAATGTTGTTTGATGTCGCACATAAGTTCCACAATTTTACTTGTGGAACAAGTTTCAGGCCGACCATTTGATCATTTGACTTCGGGGTCCCATGACATGGTGCAGCAACTTAGGGGTCTGATTGCAAGACGCCAAGGGTGCTTTTCGCAGGGAGCCCAGTGGAGGTTTCTTTCACGATTGGATCGATTGGATGAGCAGTGGCCAAAGGCCTGGTATACAATCCGCCATGGGCATCTCCTAACAGCAGTGGAACCCATCCAGAAAAACTCATGTAAATGTGTGAATATGTAAGTATATAAATATGCAGAATTGTTTAGAGACGTCCAAAGAGTTTTGTGAGATTCTGTGAGCTGTCGAATTCCCCTTGATCCTACTTGATTGGCAAACTGATTGGCATGCATCACGAGCATCTATTTTGCGGTACTCCTATCTCACAGCTCCGAAACTTCAGAGATCTCAAGAGACCACGATGTCTCAGGTGCATGGTGGAGGTTGGCAACACCATGGGCCCAAAGAGGCCGCAATGGAAGTGACCTATGGATGACATTTGAGGATTTCTGTTGGCACAATCTGAGGTTTCACCTGGTTGTGCATGGAGAAATCTTCTTACAGTTTCCAAGACCATTGGAAGAACGACAAAGCCTTGGACATAAGAACGACTGTTTTCACAGGGAACATGATTCCAAACTACCTACTTTTTACTTGGGGGTTGCAATATTGGCAGGTCCTAAAGTTGCACAGTTGCACACCATGTTTTGGGATCGAAATCTAAGCGTGAAAGCATATTGATCAAAACAAAGCTTATCCGTGCCTGAGAGAACCCTAGGTCTGACTCTCCCAATGTAGATCTAGGCCGTGTGAAACTGGCTGTTGGCCACAGGCCATACTGCTCAACGATGTGATCACATTGGTTTCATGTTGTTCAGTAGCACTTTTGGTGTGCCTTCTTTCAGGTTGCAACCAGCGTCTTGATCGCATCTATACTATACAAAGCTTGGCTGCCTAAAACCCACAACAACACCCTTTGTCATTGGTTGTTCATGTTTTTCTGTTGGTTGTGGTACCACAGGTGTTGGCACATCCAAAAACCCTTCAAAATAGAGGCGCGCTCCTGGCCAGGCCGCTTATGATGTGTTCGCCGCCAAGTTGTCACAGGCTCCAGAAATCCGTGACGACCAAAAACGGGGTTGTTTCAATGTGTTGCAACTGTCTGTGAAGAATATTCTTCACCACCTTCTTGCGGATCCTTTGGGAACAAACCAAGTCCTGATATCTTCACAAGTGGAGCATGCAGTAGGCCAGCACCACCACCTCCAAGCTGAACATTTCAAGAGTCCCAGACTCGATAACTTTCCCGACTTTTCCCAAATGGGTTCGTGGGTTCATCAGATTGCTGACCGCTTTCTTGGTGGCGCTTCGAAGAGATAGCACTGTTTTGTTCTTCAATTGGTGGTGAGGTGTCCGGAGCTGTAATCATGGTGCGCCTAGCCCAGCCAGCGTGGGTTGTGAGGGGAACGGACCAGTTTGGTCGAAATTCATTGGATTTTCCTTGCACGTTTCTTGTGGAAAAGAAGGTTATTGCTATTTTCTTTTGGAAAAATGAACTGCATAATTGTATAAAACTTTAACTTCTGGGTTGCCATGTATGATCGTCGTCCTTTGTATTGCAGTGGCATGGTTGGCCAAAACATATAAAAATATATGCTGGACCTTGCTTGAGGATATAGTCCATGATCTTTGTCACATCCTGGGCAAGTCTTCAATCTGCAGATTTTTTGTGCGGTTTGTGTGCATAGGGAAACTACCAAAGGTGGCAAGGGATATATTTCCAATCATTTTGTTCAGAGGTACAACATGGCACCAACAACCAGTGGAAATGGTGTCAGGAAATCATGATACCATCCTGGACGGTGGTGTGAGGTTCCAGACTATTTGTTGGTACCCTTGGGAAACTTCATGAGCATCACCGAGGTGCCCGGAGCCCGCTTTCGCGATTTGATTCTGATGGTGGGAAGAAAACCCCGAATTGAAAGAATTGGTGCATGGTTTTTGAACATTTTTGAAGCGATGTCGGGAAATGTCGGGAAATTTGGATTTAGTTATTAGAATTTATTAGACGGATCCAATTCCGCGCCAGTCCCTGCTCAAAGCGTGGGACTACCTGGCAACACATGGACCTGCAGGACACCGATGCCAAGGTCTTGATGCTGGAAATATGGAATGCATCAAATGCATCAAAGTCCCACAATGGGGACCTGGTTTCACATGTTCTCCAGGTTTGTGATACTGGTCCCAATGTTTCAGAGAGTCTTCCCAAATTCAATAATTCCTCCACGGGGCTGTCTCAAATTCTAAACCATGGTTTATCATCATTTTGCATAACAAAATTGCCATAACTTTGGGCATCCCACACGTATGAGGCAAACCCACATCATATGCTTGGTTGTATACCCCACTACATCCGATATATGGTTGTATACCCCACTACATCCCATATATCCCATATATCATATATCCCATATATCGTGTGTATATCCCCATGGCATGGTTGGTCTTATAACCCTGTTTCTGTTGGTTGAAGGAGATGACTGCAGTGCAGCCTCGCCGCCACCAATGTTCGTGGCAGGCGGCCTCTACTGAACGGATATCTGAGAAATGTTGGAAGTACGGCCGAGGTTTGGATGAAACATGAACGAATACCTCTTCAAATATCACATGGTGTAAATATGCCTTTGATAGGGTCAGAAAAGGTCTTCCACCATTCACCATTCGACCCATGGCAGGCGATTCTTCTGGTGCCGCCTCGGCCTTGTCGATGCTGTTGAGGCTACGTGATCAGGCGGAGTTAAGTCAAGTGGTGTTTTGTGGGAACCGCTTGAAGTTTATGATATTTTTTGATTTTGATGTGTGTTTAATATGCTTGATATTCCTTGAAAAATGGAGATAGTGATCCAAAATGTGACCCAAATTTGCCATTATTTTGGGGATGGGTTGAGCCCATCCGGAAATATATTGCACTTAATTTGATGCTTTGCCATAGATTGCCCATGTTGCTGTGGAAATGTTCTGATGGTATTTTGGGAGATGTTCTACCACCAAGACCGAGATGTATCCATTTTAGGGGGCATTTGTTTTGTGGGGACGCGTCAAAGCCTATTATTACCACATTTGGGGGGAATAAACATCCACTCACCAGCTATTTTAGGCTAGGGTAGGCTTTTGACCCAGAACCTTCTGAATTTTCACCGCACCTCTGCTGTTTGGCTTCCCCAGCTTGGATCAGGGACTCCCAACGGCTTCGGGCTTCTTTGCCTTCAGCCCTTGGATGAACCTGGCCTGCGACTCCCCCACGTGCGCCATGTAACTTGAGCAGTGGCTGCTTAGCCTCTGCTGGTCGATGAGTATGTGAAATTATACTCTATCCAATATATTTGGGATTAGCAATCACAATGACCAAAATTTGCAGATTTGGGTTCTGACATTTTGACACACCATCCAACTATTCACCACTATTCACCCATTTGGTGATTTGATGCCGTGTTGACAGTGCCCCGAGGTACTACAGCAATGCCTTCAGCTTAGTGAATGACGCTTCGGGCAAGGCTGGGAAAGAAATTTACTGGAGAACATCCCAATGAACCAAATTGTTTCGGGTATAGTCCAGGTTTTGGACCCGTGTCATCGAAGCAGTGAGTTTAGTTGATGATGTACCTATTCAATAGTAAGTTTAGTTGGTATGATGATTGAAACTGATTGTGCTTTGCAAGAAACATGCAAGGTCCATGGCGTTGGCCTCCTGTGTTGACAAAAAATGATATCCAGCAGTCAGAAAGTTGAATTCCAATGCGTATCCCTGATGAAATGGGGCCCTTCATCAGATTTGCCAAACACTCTTCAAAGTCAGAAAATGTTATGCAGCCAATTGCAACCAATGCATATCCATTATTTTCAGGTGTCAGGTTGAAAGTGTTCTGTAACTACAAATAATATCACTAAACCATCGACCCGTCAACAAATTGGCAGGTCATGGATGGTGATATCCTTTTCCGCGGGCCGCCGAAGAATGTCTCCAGCTCGTTTGGGCGGCCCAGTGTTGGATTCTGCAAATGAGAAGATGGTATCAGGATGATGCTTAGGGCTTCAAAGCTGTTTTCAGATTTCATATCAGGAATTTCTTCGGGTTTTCCGGTGATTTGTTTTTTTGAGTGAAATTTGGGGCTCACAGGCTGCAGTCCTGGCTTTGACTTTCAAAAATTGCTGTCATGCCCATGGCTCTCTGGCATTTGGAGGTGTGTACGTTATCCTAAGATGGAGTCAAGTCTCATTTCCAACAACCTTCAAAGACTAAATAGAGATAAATAGAGTCTATAGGCTGCATCTATCGCCAACTTCGCTACCAACTCCTGTTGAAACAGCTGTACGAAACGAGGCTTCGACAACTTGCCTTGAAGTACTTCCAGGGCGATGCAACGAGGCGGGGTCCCGGCAGCGTAGGGAAGTGTGGAGAAGCTGGGGTGGAAGTTGGTGGCCCATTGGTGGCTTCCACACTCGACGGACAGGACGTCAGGAAATTATCTTGCAACCTCTTGCAACCTCTTGCAACCTCTTGCAACCTCTTGCAACCCTGGAATTCAACACGTCGTTAAATCCCAGCAAAGACTGCTTGAAACCATGCTTTAGTGGCAGAAGAATGCAGAACCACCTCCAGCTATCCCATTCCCACCAGGTTGAAGGATCCACTCTACTCGCCCTTCCACGCCACGGAGGCTGGTGAACAGTGAGAGTTGTTGAGGGAGACATGATAATGACATCCAACATCCAACTATTGTATTCGCGAGGAGCAGCTCGATGAGTTGCCACCCATCTACCTGGCGGTCAGTGGTAGTGAGGTCTTGACAGGCCCACCTTTTTGGAAGCCAAAATTCCTGCGGATTGGTGTCCTGAAATCAGGATTGGTGGCTTCGATCCTTGAAAAAACATATTGTTTTGATGTGTTTATGTGCTCCATTCTGATTTGCGTTGAAGAATGATATACAATTTCTTTTCCATCACTAAAAATGGGAGAATGGGGATGGTCCCAGCCATAAAAATTCATAAAACTCCGTAACCAAAGCGCATGGGAATTCCTCGTGTGATGGTTATTGCATGGTGGTTTCAAACCAGAGAAATGCGCACCGTTCTTTTTGCTTTGCAAGCTGACCACCAGGCTTTTGCAGAACCCAAAATAGATCTTCAATAAAGTTTGATGTTCTTGTTCGCCAAGAGGATTGGATGTTCTTGTCCGCAGAATGTGTTTCACTGCAACAGCTATCAGAACAGGTTTTCAAATTCCACCGGACTGACCCACTAACAATTCAAGAGACCTATTCGGGACCCAACTGCAGCCCACAAGAAAAGTGAACCTCAACAAATCATCCACAGGGGTTCGATGATTGATGGTCACCAGGTCCATCCATCATGTTAATCCCCGCATGATGCCATGTTCATCTCTGGTGCTACAGGAGACAGTATGATCTTCGCTCAGCGAGCAGCTGTGCGCGGGGTGCGAGTTGTGACACTCAGAGGTGGCGGCATGTTTTAATTGTTTTTACGAACTCATCATATCAACCAATGATATTGGGACATAAGTTGATTTTAGCACCGAAAATGGGATGGAAGATCGCTCACAGATCTCACAGACAGTATAGAATGCAGCCGATAAGAATAGAACATAATAGACCACAATAGAACCAACAACAATGAACCCATGCAAGTTTTTTGTAGCTCCATACACGCTGGATGAGATACCACAACCCATCATCACAACAGATCACACTAGTTGCTTCTTGCTGAGGTCTACATTTCAATGTTCCCAGGGATGTGGCATGGCTTCCCGCAGTACATCGAAGGCAAGGTGACTGCACTGCAAGAGCTCAGGTGGTCCATTGGGGACTCATTGTGAAGGTTTGGGTTTGTAGCCATTTTTATGACGAAAGATACTTTTGGGTTGCCAAAGTAGTGGCTCCCATCCCCAAGAATAATCTACAAATCATCTTCATTAATCCCAAAACCCAACCCATCAACATCATTTCCGCCATTTTCGGCCATGATTTGCAATACCATTCACCCCATTCCAGGTTGCGGCTCCGGCACAGAGCTATGGCAAGGAACAACTGCCTTGAGGCGCAGGGAGGAGACAGCAATCAGCTGGAGAAATTGCGATGACAAAAGGAATGACACGTTTTGTTTTCCAATGGATGGCTGGATGGATGGCTGTTTTTGTTCCATTGTTGAGCCATTTGCTCCACCAAGCTCTTCATCCGTCTGCCAGTCATGCGGGTGACTTCGTGTCGCAGATTGCCTCCTACCTGCGATCCAGCGGGGGATCCATGACTTGTGGGAAATCTGGATGGGAAGAACGAAGCAATGCTGACATTGGTTGTGCATAGCTGGTGATTTCGGTGCAGCAAAACTAGATTGTTTGCCTAGAGGTTCTGGGGTAAACCGAAGAGCGGAGTTGTTCTGGATCGCAATTCTACTAGAGTAAAGGTAAACATGTATATTTTTCGGGTTTTGAACTTGGGCGCAATGAAAGGAAGTTTCGCAGACCTCAGCTGGCTGTCTTAACAGCAATGCAAAGAGCCAAGCAAAAGATGAATTGTAACAAGCTCATACAAGATCAGCATCAACCATGACATTTTCTGAGTGCTCGTCATTAGGTTGGGTTTCCATGGTTTTTACAGCCTTTTTGAGTTTCTGCACTTTGAAAAGGCCCGGGAATGATGTCAAGTTTAGACCTAGAACGCTTACAGCTTCACAGAACGATTTCCTGCGCTTGCAGCACCATGGCGGAGGGAGAGGACATGGTTTCTGATCTTAGATGTTGGATGTTGGATTTGTTGAATTCGATGTTTGGAAAAAAGAGTCAAACCAAAGACAAAGATTGATATGGCGATGAACATCTTGTGATCTCAGGAACCCAGTGTACGCCTGGGCCGCTACGTGGGCAGGCTGGGCCTAGTCAAACTCTCCGTTCCCATCATCTGTCAATACACTGAGCCTCACAGTATATTCTAGGATACCAATGTATGTATGTATATATATATATGTACATCATATATCCTTTGTTACGGGTGAAGTTCCAACACAGAAACACGACAAATATTGAAATGAAGAAAAACTTGGTTTCTTCATTTCGTCAGCTTTAGTTCGCGCGGAGGAAATCGGACCATTCGTGTCCCGGTGACCACGTCACCTGGGAGATCGTCTTGGCCGAAGGCGGTCAGTGCACCATTGAGTGCAGGCGCAGTCTGGACGGATTCGACATGGGCTGGTTTCAAAATTTCGAAGCACTAAGTCACGACGAAGTCCCATGGTAAAAAGCGTCGCTTTCCTGATTGAAATTAGATTTTTTCATTCATCCCTCATTTTGATACAAACACGAGCCTTTTCATGTGGCCCTGGAGTTTATTAAGGTGCTTTTGGTTTATCCAGCTGATCAGCAAATGGTGGGGATTAAACACATAAATTTAATTGGTTACTTAGATGGGCCTCGCAGAAAGTCTCAACTGCTGCGTTTTTCAAAAGGTCAAAGACAAATAAAAAAATCTGATGATTCTGATGGAATGTTTGGCAGTTCCCACCAGGTCTGAGCTGTCGCCCTCCAAGGGCGGAACGCAGGCGAGAAATTTTAAAGGAAAGCAGGATTCAAAGTGATTCAATGCCCAAGATCCATGAAGATCTTAAATCCATATGATCCCATCATCTCAAAAAGTACATTCCCATGCCCGACTTGCAATGCTTCTTAATACTTCTTGCTGTTTGTGATCAATTTGGTCGTTTTGTTTGATTTGTTGGATGTTCTTGCGACTTCAGGCTTGGCATGTGGAGGGCACGTGGGAGGAGGCTGGACATCTAGCATGTCTCGAAAACAGTCTTTGGTTTGACGTGCCAGAAAACAGATGTCACAGATGATTTTCCACATTTACTTCGTTGTTTTAACATCTTTCTTATTCAAGTCGTTCAAATCGTTCGTAGTTTGTGTGTGCTGTTTGGGCCTCCATAGATTGGGTTCGGCCCTCCAGGATGACGATGAAGTGGTGGTGTCCATCACCAAGGAGGATCCTTTGGGAGGTCCTCGGAGTGACAGAGATGTGACGCTCCAGGTGGATGACGCTCGACTCGACAGCTGGAATGCGGAAGTGTTCAGAACTGTTTTTAACGATTCTTTCGCGATCTTCAACATGGAAAGTCCACTTCACTTGAAAACAAAGTTCACTTTTCTATCTTTCCTTGTCATGAATTCACCAGATTCAAAGTGGTTGGGATCAACTGAAAATCCCAAGATGTGTGCCATGTCCAAGGACGATGTGCTCACCTTCAAGGCCCGATCTCCGTGAGTTTTAAAGGATGATCGCACGGCATAGCTTAAGGCTGCCCAAGACATAAGTTCTAAAGATTAGAAGGGTGCAGAACCTGAGAAGATACCAATGATTGAAATTCAACATAAGAATTTTCATGAAGTCTTGAAGTTTAGTTTGCCTTTCACCACTTTTGTCAGACTTGAAGAAGCTTGGAAAGACTGGACTCCCCGTTGGACATTTCCTGTTCCAAGATACAACTGGCTATTCTTCAAATGTCAGGATGCCATCATCTTGTGGATACAGAGACCTCATTCCCATCGTTCTTTCCACGTTTCACCCATTTTTTTATGTCCGTTTTCCTCAGGGTGCCAAATGCCAATGGACAAGTCCACCACCGGATCACTTCCTGGACGCCATGGCAGCACTGAGCCTCAAGGCGCCTGCTGTGCCCGCAACCCTGAAGCTTCACGCTGATGTGGAATGTGTCCCCTTCATTTTGATCCTTTTTGAAGCAAAAACAATATACATAGTATATACATAGTATATCATAATAGGCTAAAAAGTATACTTCTTAAATCTCCAACCCTTCAGGATCCAGCTGCGGTGCTCAGTGCCTCCACAGGAGCTCAAGGCTAAAGCGTTGAGCTTCGGTCTGGATCCCACTGGCTGCATCGAAAGAGAGGAGCCACTGGCAATACCACAGTGACAAGCGCTTGTGAATTGCGTGAAGCTATGGCAAGTTATGTCCTGTTAAATGTGTTGCTATCCAAATTCCATTGAATCATTTTGCAACTGTTCCAAGCCTGTAGAGATGGCTTTACTTTCACAATGGTTGTTGACCAAACTTGACCCAGGAGTTTCTAGAGCTAATGCGCCGCGGCAAAGCAGCCGGCGCCCTGAAAGAGGCAGAGCGTTTGTGTCGAACATGGCATGACAGGGTGAGAAATTCCCAAAGCTCCATACCAAATGTTGCGTTCTGACGTTAGCCTGTCATCAAGATTCAAACGTTTGAGTGAGAAAAGTTATGACTCGTCATGAGCCCTCCAAAGGTTGGAGGATTTTTTTGGCAGTACTGGCGGTACCTCTCTCGAGGCATCGCCTGTGGCATCGCAGCCCTCGCCCTCACCCACATCGCCTTCCAACAAAGTGGACCAGGCAATGAGCCGAGCCCACCACTGGTGTCATTTCAACCATTATAGAAAAGAAATTGCAAAGACTCAGCCATCCAAACTACAAAAAGTTTTTGTGGCTTTGTATCATTTCAATCTGCATTTCCATAACATAGTTCCTGGTTGCTATCAACGATTTCAGGTTTTTAACATTCACATAATTCACATAGTCTTGCAATAGTTTTGTGTGGGATTAGTTGGTGAAGGTGGACATGACAGCTGAAAAGCAGAGGCCAGTGCTCCCACGGAGAGCCCACATGCCAGTGCCAGTCCAGTGGCCAGCCAAGGCCGGAGGTGGCGAACTGAGCTGTAGGCAGAACTCGGGAATCAAGGGAATCAAGTAGTCCAAGTAATCCAATTGGCCCGTGAGGGGAGTGACCAGTACCTTGGTATGACTGAGTGTGACCAGCTGCTGCCAGGCGATGCTCCTCCTGATACGCCAGAGGCCCCACAGGCCAACAAGGGCAACAGGGCGGGTGGATCTAATATATTTTAGCATTATTTGACAACAAAAGAACAGCGAAACCCGTTGTTGTGGCAATGCAATAGATGATAGATCAAATAGATGGATATAGATTGTTTTGATGGTATTTGATCCCCTATGTTTGATGAATTCTACAGTTTGAAGGGTTAATGATGTTAGATGATGCTGATGATTTCAATACAAGCCATACTAAGCCGTACTGCCCCCATGTTTCGTGCACCCTTCAGCATGAGCGCCAGGAAATTCCAGCTGGTTGCTACAGCCTGGAGCAACTTGGTCGAGTTTTGAGCCGTGGAGGGCACCAAACCCTTGGGTGCTGCTAGGATAGCTTTGTGATTTCCAGGTGTGCCGGGCTGATTCATTAGATGGGTCAGTTGAAAACTGCATTGTTATAGGGGTGGTTGAATCCAATTCAAAAAATGCACTAAACGACCAGATCCAGTTTTCTTCCACCCAGCTCCTGCCTGGTCTTCTGAACTTCAGAAATCCCACCTTGCGTCTTCTAGGCAATTGACCGACAAGCGAACCTGGGAGAAGCTGGATGTGGTCTCAACTGAACGTGCCTTGTTCCCCCATCTTATGCCTAGGGGCTCATACTATCCAATATTTCGGGATTATTGTCATCTATCATGGGAATCCTTATCAGCCAAGCAGTAAAACGGAATGAGAAAAGATTACTCCTCAAATGTGCTCAGACTTTCAGTGGGTATCAGCATGAGACGAATTCTATATATCAGCAGCTTCTGTAATTGTTGGTCATGCTTTTGCCATCAGGATCTGCCTGAATCGAACAGAGAAAGCCGTGGATCTTCCCATTTTGATGCATTCGTCGCGAGGGGAGACCTACCTTCCCGACGGCGTCTTTCAACAGCTTTTTGAGATGCCCAAGGTGTGCAGCCATAGGGATGAGCGTCGACTAAATCAGCCATGATGGCATCTGCATGGGATAAAAGCAACAATATGAAGGGCTTTGTCCACCAACTAGGGTATACCACAAACTTGTGGGGTTTGATGGTGGACATGATGATAAGCCCTTGGACTTTGGATTTTGACGGTGCCTCATATTCAGACAGACTGTTCAAGCGAAGAGTTACAGAGACTCCCAGGGATTAGGGTGATTAGGGGTCACCATCCTCGGCTCACGGAGGCCGACTTTGCAAAGTTGCCAAAGTGGAAGAAGGACAGACTTGGACAGACTTAATGGTACGGAAAATACAACAGTTGCCTCAGTTGCCTCAGTTGCCTCAGTTGCTTCCAACCTTTTCACCTGGAGGCCCTCTGATTGTTCAAAGTGCGTCAGACTTTGGGATTTGTTCCAGGCTTCGTTCGACCCCTGTCCTCACTCTACTTCAGCCCCCTTTGCATAGGCCAATTGTTGGCTAGTGTTTGGAGCCCCCTGGTGCGCAACAATGACTGTCTTTGTGTGTATTTGTTTTTTTGGGACGCTTAAAGTTGGCAAGGGCTCAGCTGTTGACGTTTGCGTTGCACAGGAGAACCTCAAAAAAAAGCACGGCCTTTTCTGAACGGCGAGGCCTGGCCGGCACCTTGAGAGCCGAAATTCAGGGCACCAGAGACAAGATGAGGGATAACATTGCTGGTAACATCTATTTGGCTTCTATTTGAAGGGGTCGAAATGAATTTAAGGAAAGCTTTGAAACGGAAGGTTTGTGAAAAGAATTTGTCTTGGAAGTAGCTGGGCAGGGGCTAGCCGCACCAGTTGAAAGCGAATCCAAGACCACACGAAGAGGTTTCAACCATCACATATTAAAGCCTTACACGAGCAATGCGCCCTTGTGACTTCCTGTGATTCCTTGTGCAGGTTTGTGAGCGGGATTTAGTCAACTTAGTCAACTTAGTCAACGTCCAGTCTGCACCAAGCCTCGCAGTGACGGATCGTGTGTACAGGTGGGTATTTGGGCTTGCGCAGCCCCGAGGCTTCAACGGCTTCGATTTAGATTCTAAAAATTCAGATGTTTGGAGGCGCCACCTTGACATGACTTTGACATGGACCTCCAACCAGAAAATCCCTAGATGGTGGGCTTCGATGGAAAGCCAAGGCAACTAGTGTTTCTAGTGTTTCTTGTTGTCCTTCTGGTTCTTTGTGTCAAGAGGGCACTGCATCGAAAGACTTTGCGCAGAGCATTTTTGCACCTGCGAAGCAACATGGGGAAAAGGCGCATGTTTGTAGATTGCAGAAAACCTAGCTTGACAGGACCTTCACAGATGCCCTGTTCTTGAAGTACTGAAACAGAAATTCCCAAAGTGCTTGCCAGAGCTTAATCCTGACCCAAACTGACGTGAAGCACCAGGGCTGTTTCTAATGGTTGCCTGTGCCTTGCACCAAACGTTATTTGCCCGTGAGTTCCAGCCAGTTCCAACACACCAAACTATGCTTAGGACCGAACCTTCACCGGCTGCCCCAGAGTGGTGAGAAGACACCAAGGCAAATGGGATAAACACAGTTTCAGTGTGGTTCAGTGTGGTTCAGTGACTGTGTGACTGCAGAGTAACATGTAATGTTTCTCCTTGTGATCACCATCTTGAGACCAGAATTGTTTGCTCGTTCAGTATGGCTGGAAGATTTGATGTGGGAAACGGGCGCAGGACGAACGTGTACTATCCGAATCCTGAGGGTGCCAAGCCTTGGAGCTTCGCAGGAGACCCAGTGTGCGTAGCAGCATTGCTGTGAAGCAGGCCATGATCGTGTTAGTCCTTCATTGATACCCCCGTTTAAAATCATTCAAACACTTGAAAACACTTGACTGGAGTGGGAACGCCTCCAAAAGCCCCAAAGAGTTTCTCAACAGGCAAGCAGCCTGCCACAGGTCGGAGAGTTGAACTTGGGATTGGTGTCGCAGGCAGGTCCCATGTCAGAGTTCAGAGCAGCTACATTGATCTATGAATGTTGCAGTGCCATGCTGTGCCCAATACCCCCAACAGTTTTGCCAGCTCCAGGTAATGCCGCCAGAGGCAGTTGCACCACTGCCTCCGTAAAACACTCAGCATTGCGGCAAAAAGCCAAACCTGAATTCATAGAAATCCAAAAAAGGTAAGGTGAGGATTCTGGCAATAGCCTGGGAATGATGAATGTTATGTCAGTTGTGTCTTGATATCTGGGCTTGAAATGGATGATGAAACCTTTTCATCATGCATGTAGGACGACCTCCCGAGCAGCCTGAGCTTTTGACAGTGGTTTCGGTATTCTCCCACCATTTGCTTTCTTGACCTTCCCCACGAGGTGGAGTTTCCTCTGATTTGGTTTCGACTTTCTAAGGCCAAGCAAGAGCTTTCGAGCCCGGGAGGCGATCGTGATCTCGGGCTGAATGTTTTCTGCTTGTTTGCCAACTGCTTTCAACACTGAGCTTATGTGGGATGTTCAACGCGGACATTGTCAGTGCTATTCCGCCTTTAGAGCAGCTTCCCAGAAATCGGGGCCCAAGAAACCAGATGTGATCTAATTGTTGAGTTTAGGCTTGAATTGGGCGCGTTCTCACCAGGGAGTTGCAAATGCTTTCACGTGGAAGGTTTGAGCCGGATATCATCCCAGTGCATTTGCATGTTTCGCAAGATATCTCTACGTCTTTCAGGCGCCCAAATCATTTGCAGATGATGATCAAAACTCTGAACTCTCCTTGGCCCGAACCTTGATTGATACCTTACACTTTCAAAAAGAAAATGTTGGCCGTTTCAGGAGCTTGGCTCAACAGCGAGTCAGCTGTTGTGATTCATGTGGTGCCTGGAAGCCAAGGTGCCACCACGAGCCTTGCCAAAAGATGTGGTGATCGACTGCCCACAGGACGGGACCAGCTGCTGAATCGCAGGTGGTTGATTGCTTCTGGGGCTTCCACCTGCAACTTCGCCACCAGGATACAATGACAGGTGCAGTGATGTCAGGGATGCTTTTGGGTCCAGCCGCCTAGCCGTGCTGAGTTTGCCTCTCACACGAAGCTCAAGCGCAAGGGACAGGTCGTGCCTAACACAACTTGACCAATGGAACAAGTTTTCGGGTTTTGCCCTTCCACGCCATGCCCAGCGCCCAGGTTCTCTTTGCATGGTGGGTTGCCTGACGGGCGCTGCGTGGTACCTTTCCAGGCCATGGGAGTAAGCTTTGCAGATTGAAAAACCTGAGATCCGACCTTGAAGTCTTTTGAAGTTTGTTGTGCACAAGGCGTGCACATGGAGAGCTTCCAGCCTTCTGCCCTGATTTTCTGCAGGCGCAAAACTTCTTGAAGTAGTTGCTGAAACATTTCCGTTTTTTGCACCACTGTTAGGATGCGGGAAGGATTTTCAAAATATGGTAGTTCTGGTACGGCTTTTGTTGATGCCAGATACAGTCTGGAAGCCAACCCGTTTTGAAGCCACCTCTCCCCTTGTTTGCAGCACCCCCTGGAGAATTACAAGTCAGAGGTGCGGCGTGGAACTCAGATGTCAATGTTGTATGGGAATGGATTGACCAGAATGTCGATGACCATTGGTGAACCTTGGGAAAAAGGTTGTAAGGGGAACCCCCTCGTTGAATTTTGAGTGCCAAGGTCATGAAGTTTGATTCTCCGTTTGCTGCATGCATGGTGGCAAACCGTGAGAAGCCCAGCACAGGCAGGCTGAAAAGTAGCTTGCCGTGCTAAACAGATAATGCGCAATGAAGAAAAAACTGCATTTATCCTGTTCTTCCATGAACCTGTGTTGGCTCACCACAGCATGGTTTTGGAATTCACATGGATTACATTTGCAGATTTCGGATTCCCGCTCGAGGGAAAGTGTCCAAAGGATTGCAGTAGTCTAGCTTTTTTGGCTGATACACAGGGTCCACACGAGACTGGGCCCACATCACCTCAAATCTAACGTCTCCTTTTTGAAGGTTGTGATATGTTTGTTCAATCTTTGTCCCTGACAGCAGAAACAATGCCGCAGCCCATCAATGACTCCCACAGTTTGATGGTCAAGATTGGTCAAGCATGCTTTACAGCTTCATGTACAATGAACCAACAAGCATACTCGCAACTTGAAAGAGATGAGCCAAGTGCCTTGTAGATTGTAGCTGTTTTGCACAGCAGACATGTTCCTGGCTCAAAGATATTAAGTGGGTCATGGAGGTTGAGCTGCGGTAATGTCAGGCAGGCCCTCCCGCAATGGAAGCTTTGAATTGCCACTTTGCAGAAGCCCTCTGTCTTGGCATTGGCGAGTATGAACGCGACCAATGCTTACCTCAGGCAGCTGCAGATGCTGAAAACATGGCAGCAGCATTCAGAAACCTGGGGTGTTGCAATGTAATATCAAGAACCACTCAGGAACCTTTGACAAGGCAAAAGATTGTGGACCTTGTGTCGGGTTTCGTTCTTCGAACAAAGTTCCGAATGCAGGACGCAGAGACAACTGGATGGGGGACATTGCTGGTGGCGCTTTTTGTGGCATCACATGGCATGCACGCCCATGCTAAGGAATTGCCGTTGATTGTTCCAGCAGACCTCACTTGCAGCTCCGACACGGAAGAACTTATTGATTTGGATAGGCTTTTGCTGAATGAACTTGCACAGGTAACACCTCCAAGACACAACCAGCGCACTTGTTGTGTTTGGATTATATTGGATACTTGTCGATCAGGGCCCGTCACTGCTTGGCAGTGCCAGCCATGCTGCAGCCTCCGGGAACAAAATGCAGATGTGCTTCGTGGCCCATCCCCCCTCAAGACCAAGCTCACACCAGATTTCCTCGTCCTTTTGGCATGCGATCGTGGTGGCTGGGCATCTGATTGCGACAGTCTTTCTTCTGCACTTGTAAAGTCATTGCAACAAGACAACATCAGCATCAGGGAGGCATGCGAAAAGGCGATTGGTGCGATCGAGCAGACTTCCCGTGGCCGCCAGAGGCCTTGGATGCATCAGCGGGCAGGGCCAACTTTTTCGAATATTCGAAAAGTGCTTCCTGCTCAGGTCCAGGATCAGAGAAGCGTTGACCAGAACAACGAGGTGGAATGTGTGCCATCCTGGTTCTGGCTCGCCTTTGCTCTGGTTTGCGGGTTCACAATAGCCTTGCTGGTATTGATTTGCTTCTTCAGTTTGTTTTACTACTTCAAGATAACAGGGGCTGAAAACGTTGCAAAAGGCAAGGATTGTCCGGGTGCTTCGTGTTTTTGCACAGACTGCAACCACCGAAACATTTATAGCAACGAAAAAAACAAAAACACGGACTTCTCTTGTAAGCTCTGGGAGGAGGGGCCTACACTCAACCGATGCAGGATTGGCCAGCTATTGCACGTGGCCAAGATTTTCCTGGCTCTTGCCATGTCACGAAAGTCTGTGTGCAGGCTGCTTGGGGTGGTGCCGCCTTTAGGGAGGCTGCTTCGGATCGTGCATCGGGACGGAGCGACACCATTGGACTGGTGCGTCGTTTTGGTGTCCGGCGTCAATGTTCTCACTTCTCTCCCACTTCCACTGCAAGAACCCGATCATGTTGCTGTAGTCGCTTACGCATACGGGATTTTAAACTTTGCCTTTATTGCTGCTTCAATCTCGATGCTGATATTGATCCACGTTGAGTTCCCAGGCCTTTCGCTCTGCAGTTGCGGGCAATTTGTTCCAAGATTTACTTTTGCTTTTCTAGCAACCGCGCTGATTGGGCAACTGGTGATATTTGGATTGTCCCGCGCAATGGTATTTGTCAATGCCCAGCATGCCGGCAAGCAGGAAATGTTGTTCTATGCGTTTCATGTGCTTACAGGAGCAGTCTTGGCTTTAGTTGGCTATTTGAAATCGAGAGGGAGCCAGGCTCCTGTTGCCAAGAAGTCTTACCAACTGCTTATCGTGTCGCTCTGTTGGATGCTTGTGGTGCTGGCATGGCTCATAACGAGCCATTACAATGAAGAATTGATGGCAGATTACCACTTGTTGAGGGTGGTAGCAGAGAGAGTGTGTAATTTTGGGAAGATCCGTTTGATGGTGTGGTTCTCTGAGCACAGCATTCGGTGCACCCTTCTAAGACGTGGTTCTTTAGGTACAGCTGCATGTAGGATGCATGCAGCCAAAGTTGTACTGGCCGAAAACTGTCAAGTTGAAAGGGCGATGCATGCCACCTTCTGTGAGAAGGATCAGTTTCACGCGCTGTGAATACAACAGCCATTGCTTTTAGAGCTGTAGGTTGCTAATGCTGACACGAGAAATGATGCGCCGTGTTGAGAATGATATTATCCACTGTTATTTTTCCGGCTGCCATCCAAACCAGTTTAGCACCCGCAACCGCATGCCCCAATCGCATGCAGAGAGTGGGGAATTTTAGACTAGGAAGAGGGGAGTGTGAAGAAGTGCGAAGTATGGAGTGTGAAGTGGAGAGTGTGAAGTGTGAAGTGCGGAGCGCAAGGAACGGAGAGCGCATGTGGAGTGTGGATTGTGAAGTTGCCGAGTTCTGGCGCGGAGCGGAGAGTGTGAAGTGTGGAGTGGAGACTGCGGAGTGTGGAGTGGAGACTGTGGAGTGTGGGATGTCGAGCGTGGGGTGTCAAGGGTGGGGTGTCAAGCGTGGAGTGTGGAATGGAGAGTGTGAAGTGTGGAGTGTGGAGTGTGAACTGTGGTGCGTGGAGCGTGGTGTGAGATGTAAAATGGAAAGTGGGAAGGGTGCAGAGTGGAGAGCAGAGAGTGGAGAGTGTGAAGTGAAGTAAAATTAAGTGAAGTGAAGTGTGAACGCGGGGTGCGGGAATTGCGAGAGCGAGCGCGTGGAGGGTGGAGTGTGGAGGGGAGAACCTAGCACAGGAGTTGTCTTATCGTAATTGTTATACAGGTGCTGTTAGACAGGAGTAATTACACATAAGTTATAGTTGTTATATGGATCTATTTTGGAGGAATCGTTTTGCGGGAATTATTATA